ACTTTCTCCCCAGGACCTGTGGTATCTGCATTACAGCTCTCAGCTGCACCTCGCTCTTAGGCAAAGGCAGACGAGACAAGAAGTGCTGGTGATATTCAGTGACTGTTGTAACAGCCATCGAGGCTTCTGGATGCCCTTTTTCAGCAACAACATCGGCGCCGAGGGCAGGCTTTGCCATTGATGAACTTCACGCAAACCCAACGGACTTCAGGCTGAGTCCGTGGCATTTCTTATTTCACCAGCCAGAGATCAAAGACGGCTTTTCTCCCAAAATGAAACTAGTTTTCCCAAAGCAGGAGGAGAGTCTTGCCCAGCCGTTACAGGCGCGTTCATGCCAGGCAGGTAATGGAAAGCAGCCCAGCCCTCTCACCAGTCCTGCCCCACTGAAAACACTTCTTTAGTGGCAAATGCCCCCCTCCCACACCCTTAGGACCCAACACCGTGTCACATCCTGAGCCGGTTACCGGTGCAGAGCACAGGTGCACAGCACTTTGCAGCCAAGAGCTTTGCGACAGCAGCACCCATTGCTGATGGGAGGGCCAGCAAGATTTAATTACATATAAACTGGACGATGAGTTTCTGGCTGCTGGAAATGACTGTTACTCTGTTCTACAAACACTGTTTCTGGGTTTTAGTCTCAGGCTGGCTGGACATTGTTTGGAGAGGTTCGAAACATCTTTATTCATCTCCTTGATAACAAAGGAGAGCTTTAGAAATGTGGAGAACACGAGGCCCCTATAAGAAAGGGCCTGATTTCTGAACAAAAAGCCAGGCACCTTTACCTTCCTGCCAAATGTCCTCATTAGGCAATAGGATCAGCCACTTTCGCCTAATGCCCATTTAATTGTTTGCATTATGGAGGGCCACCTGCAAGAGGAGAAACTGAGAGGGGAACTATGTGAGTCAGAACGAAGTTGTTGGGAGCCCCAGCCAGGTGCCTTCACCTGAAAGTTTCAGGGTTGGGGTTTTTCCCCTTGTTCTCTCCTCTAGCCTGGACTTGGAGGTAAATCCCTGGCTCAGTCCCTTTGCCCCTTTAAAATACTAAAATACTTAGTGAAATTACATTAGCAGTAAGAAAAAGTTCTGCCAATAATTTAATTCAAATGATTTGTTGCCACCTATACAAACCCTGATGTTTGTGTTGGGATCTATTCAGAATAACTATTATTTAGTAAAAGTTTTGTTTGCCGTTCCTAAGTGTAGCTTTCTACAAACTTTGATTAGATTGTTCCCTACCCTGTTACAGGAGCCAACACACTGGTCAGAAATTTTCAGTCAGAGGTTTTCTTCCCATGCTGTTAACTAAAGTTGGCCATTGTAACTGTGTGATGTGACAAAATGATTGCTACTTTAAGGGCTAATTTGGTGAATTTTTTGGTATTACATTAGTCTCGGAGATTTTCAATATTCAAAACAAACAATCCCTATTATTGGCCTTTAGGAAATGCAGACCTGCAGATAGTGCGAAGTAGTGACCCTGATGAGATACCCTCAGCTAAAATGCTCCTGAAAAAATAGCTGTCAAATAGACTTCAAGTGGCAGATGCCATCAGGACAGCTAGGAGGTCCTGCAAAAGGTAACTTTGGCAATGAGGTTTGCTCCCTTTCTGAAAGAGCCTGTCTGGCCACAGATGGCCCCAGGGTCAGGGCTTCAGCTTAGCACGAACGTTTGGTTCCCATTCACGTTAGGTGGGTCATCCTAGTGCCAACAGGACTTTCTGCTACTGGCCTGACCTCATCCATTTCACCTTTTAACAGAAAGAAAAAATTTACATGTGTTCTTGAAGAGAGCAATGCCTGTGCTGTGGTCGTAGCAAAATGGCTGGATGAGGACAAGATGAGGACAAACAGCTTTATATGCTCCATCTGTCATCTTTATGTTCCTCTATGATAATAGAAATGCTAGTCATCTATCTGTAGGACTGAAGGGGAGAAAATAAACCCTTAAATTTTGTTTATTTCTCTCTCTCTTTCTTTTGTTTTCTCTCTCTTCTTAGGTGGTTGAATCAAAGTGGCTATGGGCATATAGACCTCTACAAAGCAGATGTGCTTTAAATCCCATGCTTTGTTACACTAACATCTGGGCCATTCCTGTCTTGAACTCATTACTCTCCCGTGACACAGCTGGAAGGAGGATGAGGTTCAGGAGAAGGAAATAATTTTATCTTACCATCCTTTTATAGACATTTTAAAATAAAAAATATACTTGCCATAGGGAATACTTGCTTTAATGGCTTCAGGTCCCCAGTTGCACTACAGATTACCCCTCCAACTACTTGTCACCTGAAGCTCAGTGTGAGCCAGCGATGGCTTCAGAGGGCTTGATGTGACTGTACCTTGCCACTGGGGAAAAGAGCCCAGCAGAAGGCTTATGCTAACATATGCTAACAGGCTTTTTCCTGCTTGGGCTGGTGGCTTTTAATCTGATGCATCCTGGACTAGTGTCCAGGGAAATGCAACAGCAGCCCCAGATTTAGATGGCCGGTCACCTTTCCACCTGCCTTCACAACCCAGGAGGCAGCGGGGAGGTCTGAGTCCCTCTGTTCACCCTGGGTGGGTGCTCACTCCTGAAGAAACAAGGTTGCACAGGCTGGATCAGCCCTCTGCCCCCAGGTTTGGGTGCTAGCCTTTCCGCCCGAGGTCTTGCCTAGCCCAATTTGCTCAGAGGACATAGGCAGCAAGTCCCCGCTGCAAGAAAGGAACGTGAGGAAAGCGGATTTCAGCAGGTCCTTTGCCTCACCCCCTTCCCATTCTGTTAAACTCAGAAGATGTCTTTCCTCTCCGGTCCTCCGTAACAAGCCTGCTGGGCTTAAAAGTTAGCAAAACTTTCTGAAATCCTCTTCCACAGGCAGTAGGGTTAATTATTCAGAGCTGAAGTCATGGGAGCAAACCCCCTCTGAAATGCCAGATCCTTGTAGGAGATGGAGAGCGACGGGGTCACAGTGTTTGCATTTGGCAGGTTTAACCCTGCACCCAGCACGCAGCTCTGCTGCCCCAGCCTTTGCCTGCACCAACACCTTGCTGTCAGTAAGAAAGCAGACCCAGGCCCACAGGCTCCCAGCAGATCCACTTGCTCCTGCTGCTGCCCGAGCCTTTTTGCCCCACTTCCCCTGGAAGCACAAGTGTCCAGGGATAAAGCAGCAGAAGTTCAGCTTCAAGTGAGCCACTGGGAGGGCAGAAGCTGCAGCAGCCATGGCTGGGTCTTCCCTGCCTGTCCCTGCCTGTCCCTGCCTGCCCACAGCCCTGGACCCGGAGCCATCCCTGGCCCAGGAGAGCTGCTGCAGCTCCGGAGAACCACTCCTGCCCTGCCAGCCCCCGGGGTTGCATGGGAAGGGTTGATAACTGCAAACCCTAATTGCAAACCCTAATTGCAAACCGTGTGTTTTCCTCCTGCTTTTTCTTCTTCAGCAATATTGGGCCAGGAAATATGAAGGGACTAATTACCAGAGGTAAAAGTCTTTATTTTTTTCTTTATAAATTGAGCACATTTGGATCTAGGAAGCGCTGATCATCCATCCAAGGCACTGTGCCCTCCTTTGTGAGTGGGCTTTGCACTCCCTCTTCTGGCATATGGACCGGCTGTGCAGGGGGAGGAAGAGGAGGGACAGTGGTGGTGGTCCCCTGCAGAAGGGCTGCTAGCTGCTTGCAAATGCTGGCAATGGGGGGCCCTGCCTGCTCTCGGCCCCGCTGCCACCAGCACAGGTCTCCCCAGCCATTTTCACCTACCCAGAAGGGCTTCGGCTTCTCTCTGCAAGGGAAACCACTTGCCCCTCTTTTTCAGGAGCCCCCTGCCCCAGCTGCCTAGGTGCAGGCCCCGGTAGGAGGGTCTCCTTAAACAGAAACCCCACTCTGTGGGTTGCGCTGGTGAAATGACCCTGATGGTGCTTGCTTGTGGGTTTAGGCAGGCCAGAGTCCCCGAGAGCTTTGCATCATTGATTTGGTTGTGTGCACCCCTAGTGCCGGCTGTACTATGCCATGGCGTCTGCGATGCTCCTGGGTGCTGGCCGGTGTCACACAGGACCTGGGGGGCTTGTTGTAGGGCACCCAACACCCGGGTGTGAGCGACCCACCCCAGCCCTCAGCCTCTCTTCCCTGTCATGGCTCCTGTGCACTGGCGACCCAATGCTGCTTGTTTAAAGGGTTCCCGTAATCCATGTGCCACGCGTCCCAGAGAGTTATCCTCCCTCCCACCACCACCGGCTGAGCACACCCATGCCTCAGCTGCCCCACAGCACTCCAGCTTGCTGCAAGAGAAAGAAATCGATTGTTTCTAGCTAGTTTGGGTACTTCATGGCCTCAGGATAGAATTGTTTCCCTTTGGCTCGGGCCAGTACAGGGATAACCCTGAGTTCTTCCTAGCATTTGTTCTTGCTCCCCAGTTGTGCTCTCTCAGAGGAAATCTCTGCTACCAGCACGCAGTGGCGTTTGCCTCCCCAGTATTCCCAAGTGCCTCCTCCCCCGCCGCAGCCCCGGTAGATCAGGCACCGAGGTTGCACCACACCACAGGCTGTCTCCTTGTCAGGACCTCAAGGTTGCATGTCACAGGGCCCTGGCATCAGCAGAGGAGAGGGGAAGGGGTAGCCTCTCCTTGGCCCTCCCTTCACGGCAGGGCCATACCTGCCGTGCACATTGGCAGGTAGCCAGCCATATATCTGTATCATAGGATCATAGAATCACCTGGGTTGGGAAAGACCCTTAAGATAGAGTCCAACTGTAAACTTAACACCGCCAAGTCCACCACTAAACCATGTCCCTATACCGCATACTGCTTTCCTTCAACCCGTGGCATTGTGCTATCAACCAGCAAGCATCAGAGCTGCAGGTGGTACGATGTCTACTTGACCCTGGGATCCATCCTGCAAGGTCCAGCATGGATCTTAAACTGCAGATGCACCAGTGCTGAGCCCTCAGCATAGCACAGATCTAGGAGAAAGCCACGGACAGAAAGGCCTGTCATTAAAAACTGCGGAGAACTGGCAGTGCTTCTGGTGGAGACTGACCGCCTGGAGACAGGTCTGAAGCACCAGGGCACATTCGGGATGGATGGGTCAAAGCAACACATCCGTTGTAAGCATGATGATGACATTGTGATGGCTAGAAACCCACGGTTTTCCCTTGCTTTTGGGTGCACTTCACATTAATTACAGTCTACCTAAAGCAAAGGATAAGGTAAACAACGAGTATATATATCTATATGCCACACAAACATATGCATAGACATACCTACATACATTTATATAAAAATATATAAAAGTATAGAGATGCATAAATATTTTGTCTTTCCTAACTAATGAATGCAGCCACTCCAGGGTCTGCCCAGTCAAATATCAAAAGTAGCTGTGAACTGAGGGGTGTATTGCCTTCCACTAGAAATAGGCCCAACACGGGTCAATCCTCTAAGCAAAGTGATACTTAGTGAAGTAGGTTCTGGTCTTGGCCTGCTATCAGAAGCAGAGTATGCTGATCTACACAGTTTAATGGTTTCTCTCTCTTCACATTAGCCCCTAGCACCTGTCTGTGTGTACGGCCATAGCGTTGCAGTGCAGACTGGTACGCCTCTAAACGTCGCCCCGAGGAGCCTCCGAGGGGGTGACACTGCCCGGCTCTGCTTCCCCGTGGAAACAGGCTGCTGACAGCGGTGGCAAGCTGAAAACATCAGGTATTAAAAGCTGGTTAGGTGTAAACATGGAAATGCTCTTCTGCAGCCACCTCACCGAGGATGCTCCAGGGACCAGACAGAGGTGGAGCCAGAAGGTCTGAGCCATGACAGCTTGTCACACCCTGCCTGGGCACTAACACCCCCAGCAGGAATCCTTTTTTCATATTTTGTGGAGTACTGCCCATACACATCGTACTGTGAACACCTGAGAGACTCTCTGCCTGACCCTGTAGCTCTTACACTCCTCCTTTGCCAGGGAGCTGAAGGCACCTGTATAAGGAACATTTCTGAGCTTTGCACAGCAAGGATTATACAGGATGATGTCATGGAAACTTATTTAAATAAATCTTACTTACATTCTTAACGCTAGATTAACTAAACATTTAGAAAATCCCCTCGACTTCCGAATATTGGATTATTTTTTGAGTTCATTTAACTAGAAGAATGAAAATTGATTAGATCTTTTGTAATGTAATCCTTTAGGGATGTTCTCAAGGCCACTTTATTTTTCCTGATGTCATGTACACAACAGAGTGAGAGACACCCATACACAATTTGAAAGCAGCTACATAGCTTCACTCCCTGATTCTCTGCTAGCAGAATGGGGCTGCTCCTTTTGAGCTGCTGAATCATTCAAATCCAAAATTAAGTCTGCTTTTCACCAACTCAAGAAAGGAAAAAAAAAGCTGCAGTAATTCCTGATCAGATTCAGGAAAATGTTAGTTTTGAGCTGCTCAAAAAGCAGCGCTGCTGGGAAAGTAGATCTGTGTGTGACTGCTACCACAGCTAAGAGAAAAAAAAATATCTCCCCTCCCTCCTTCTGACAGGAATGACACTGAAAATGTCTTAATTTGCTGTGTCCATCATGTCTTTCATGATCCTGTACTGAATTATGTTTTACCTCTGCACATAGCTTTACACCTATGAGCATAATATTCACTTAATGTTTAGTATTTTGTGATAATGAAGCAAGCTTCCTATGAAAAATGTTATTTAGCAGCGCAGGCTAATTTCAGATGGCTTGATTTTACACCTGGAACCACTGCTGCATGCTGATATACAAACTCCTGCGCTTACCCTCTGGGGCACTGCTGAGCCCTAAAGCCAGTGAGGTGGTGAGGAGCCAGAACGTCTTCTGCATGGCTGTCCTCCGTCTGCAGACTTTAGGCAGCATGTGTGTCCGCAGAAAAAAGACACTTTTGAGGCTTGTATTTTATATTGGTTGTGTTTGTCCAAATACTCTGATTTACATTTGCCTGAGGAAGAACTTTTGTGCTGCTTTGTTTTTTTATTAGTCACTCTTGATTAACGTGTTATTGGCATGTTTGGTGTCCCATAAACAGGCAGATGGCTGATCCTGGGCAAAGGCTGGCAAAGATACCCAATTCAGCATCAGGTCTGTGTGGGAGAAATGTTCAGCCATCAAACAGGTCATTCTCACCAGCACTAGCCTGGCTCTCATTTATCACTGGGTGTGTGTTCTGCCGGTTGCTAAATAAGCTATCTTCAACACGGTGAATCACCAAGTCAATGCTTTTATGTGTGTGTACAGCAATATTTTTTATTTATTTCTGAAATTATGCAGGTGATGGGGAGCCTTCAAATAATGCTCAGTCCAGGGCCAAAATGAACAGGGGCTGCAAGTGATAGGGAAAAAAGCAAGAAATGGGGTTTCTTCTTTAGTGATGCACAGAGCCAGATGTGAACGCATTTGCAGAGGGGCTTGTTATTACCCCTCCTTTCTTTTAACAGTATCTGGTAGATAAGTAGCCCCAGGTAAATGGTGGAGGAGCAGTTGTGCATCCCCTCTGCTCCCAGCTCTTACCGCCTTGCTGGGTAGCATTCACAGATTGTCTGTAGCACTGGGGAAAATTGGGACTGTGGGTCAGGTGGAGCTGCACTTGTCTCCTTCAAGCTGCAAAAACATCATCAGCAAAACAGTCCAGAAGAAGTCAGGTCCCCATGTATGTCTGTGGTTTCTGTTGCTTCCCAGGAATTTCAACAGGGCCTAATATTACGCTCGTTGCAGTTGCAGATGCTATCCATAAGGACTGATAGCGGCTCAGTCACCATCACAGAGCTGGCGATGTCGGTGCGGTAAAAGGGGTGATGCTGCTGCCTGCCGCACGGCGTAGGTGGAGGGGTTACCCCAGGTAGGTGCAAGCTGGGTGCAGGCAGCCCTTGGATGCAGGCAGCCCTCGGGTGCAGGCAGCTTTTGCAGGGTGGAGGAGCCCTTCCTGGGGAGAAGCCTTTGGTGCCAGCTGGGGGTCTCCCCGAGATCCAGGTGGGTGCTGGCCTTCCCCTGGGATGGCCCTGGGTCTGTCCCTGCTCTGCCACAGTCTTCACACTTCAGAGCATGTGTGCGTGATTTATGCGATTCCAGCGAGTGACAAATCCCCCCTGACACGCAGGTCTCCGTAAGGACGGGTCTCACAGGGATGTCCCTGGTGTCTCATGAAGGGATGCTGGCATGGCTCAGAGGGCTGCCGGGAACAGCAGTCACTGCTCTCCCCTCCAGCTCACCCATGTCTCAGGCAGGGATGAGGATCTTCAAGTCCCACAGGAGTCAGCGGTCAGCATTTGCTTATTGTCCTACTGCAATGTGAAGGGGAATTAATTCATCACCTGGAGCAGCATTTCTGAGTCTCCAGTCCCAGTCTGTTACTGACCAAAGGGTGATCTGCACAGCAGCTGCCAAAAAAAAAAAAAAAGAAAGAAAGATCTTTATAATATGAACACATGCCCATGCGTACAGGTGGGTGAACAGAAAAAGGAAACGAGCAAAATAAACAAACATCTCTACTTGTAAATAAAAAATCATTTCAGCTGCATGGTGCAAGGTGGTCCCTAGCTTTGTTTAAAATAACTCTGTGGCCCTCAGATTCTGAAAGGTGGGAAATGCTGATCCCAGTGTAGCACATATGCAGTATATCTGGCATTACACAGCAGGCAGGGCTGCCAGCAAAAAAGACCTTGCATTTGATGATGCATAAACTAGGATGCTCCCAGTTTGCTCTGCCTGCTGCTGGCAGGGAGGGCAACAGCTCGGAGTCCCTCTGATGGAGGCAGGGTCTCCACCACGGGGGTCCTTGCAGCCACCTGAGGCAGTGAGATGTGCTCTGCCTCTGTAGCTGCTGACCTGGGCTTGATTTTCTCTGTGGAGTCCAATCTCCACCAAACACACCCTTTGGGGGTTGCTCCTGGGCTGAGGGTGGCTGTGAACTGGGGGGGAGTGGTGAGGTCCTGGAGGGATGCTGGAAATGAACCACAACCATAAAGCTCTTCAGCTTTTCCAAGGTTTTGTTTTGGGGTTTTTTTTTTGCTTGGTTTGTTGGCTTATGTTTATTTTCAAGCCTACCTGTCTTTTTCGAGGCTTCATTCTTTTCTCCGCTTCATCCAAGAAGAAAAACCCTCAAAGGTTCAAATTCCCCAAGGCCAAAGGACGAGGGGCCAGCAGCGCTGCGGTTGCCCTCGGAAGGAGGGGTGCCTGGTGCCCAGACATCACGGCCACCACGGGGGGCTGCGTGCGGCCCCCCTCACTGGAACAGGGGAAAAGCACGAGGATGCTCAAGGACCAACGGGGCTGTCACAGGGCTGCAGGCACAGTGTGACCAGAGGCTTCGCCCTGGGAGGGTGAGGAGTTGAGGAGGAGAGGCTGCTACCTTTGGAAAGGAATGAAGGCTCGAAGCTATCCCATGCCTTGGGGATGCCTGTGGGGTTTTGCCTGTATTTTTGCAAGCAGACAGCATGTTTCCCCTCCTCCTGCCTGGCTTCCCAATCCCCTGTTGGACATTTTAAAGAATTTGAGAAAGAAACTGGAGGAGAAACTATTGAAACAGTCATACCAACTTCTGGCAAGTTTTGTGCAAATTTGCAGCTGGGAGGAAAAAAGAGATCTGAATGGCAGTTCCCACTGGAGGAAAAGCAGGGAGGTTTCAGGCTTTGGTTTGGCATCAGCAGATCGGCCGCTGGGCTGACTGGCTGGCTGGTGCTTGTCCTGCCTCCTGCCCAGCCAAATGCCACGGGCAGGGGATGTGAGGGGCAGCCAGGGGAGGGGAGATGGGTATTTAGGGATACAGAGGGGTGGAGAAAGCAAAGGGCTTGTGAGGCAAGAAAGAGGTCTTGAGAGGTGGAGAGGATCTAGGGGTATTGCAGAGGAGGCACTATAAAAAGCAGGGATTATCGTGGTGTGGGTGGATGCGGGGACACAGATCCACGGAGGGGCAGGGACGCAGAGCCTGACTGCAACCTGCCGCTGGCACGGCCGTGCCTTACTCCTGCCGCAGGGAGAAGCAGGAGGAGGAGGTGAAGGAAACCTTGAATAGGTGATCATCTTTCCCTTCACTCTGGCTGCAGCCACAGTGTGATGACGTACTTTGTTTCCGGAGAAGCTTAGCTTCCATTTTCCTACCGGTTTTAAGGGTTTCTTAAAATTAAGCTATCTAATGGGTATCTGCACATGGCTGTAGGTGTCTAGCACTGGGTACCTGTGCAGAAATATTTCTACGTGACAGTTACATTTTTACCCTGATGTCTGTAAGTTGTGACACCATCCTAGTCCTAGTAAAAGTGCTAGTAAAAAGGAAGGCTGCTAAATCTCTAAATAAACTTTTTTTCTTTCTGCCATTGGTGAATGACACAAAATAATTTGTAGGGAAAAGGTTCTTTTTTACTGTTATTGTCCAATTATAGCTTCAGTCTCAAAAGGGAATAGTCTAGCCAGGTAGCTGGAAATGTGGATAATATACTGCTCAACAGATCTCTCTGGATCAAAAACAGCTCTGCAGTGACATCTTACTGCTATTCCGCTGTAATTCTTCAGTGTATTAATTATATCAAATGTATCACTTTTAAATATATCAAAGCATGAGAAAGCCTGAGGCTGTGACTTCCAGGGCATCCCCTACCACGAGGAGCCAGCAGCACTAACACACAGCACAGCTATGCAGTTTGGGGACCCACCAGAGACCTGGGCAGGCGTGCGGATGCTCTGACCACGCTCCTGGGTGCCTGAGAGTCCCCTCCGCTGCTGGGGAAGCTGCATCTCCCCAGTAACCTCTCCTCAAATAGCCAAGAGTGCGATGGGAACCATAACTGTGTTCGCATTACCCACTTTTGGTGGTTGAGGCATGAACCGTTTCGGTAGTTAGTTGTTGTTTTTTTTAAATAGAGTATGTAGGCAAAATTTTGAAGTATGCTGCCATCTGCTGTGGGCTTAATATTAACATAAGCATTTCAAATTAGTTTCTCATAGAGGTAATGCTGCTGAGGGTAAGGGTGCCCAAATAAATGATACATGGCAGTCATACTAGTTGTGAAAAAAGGATCTAAAACGCCCTTCCCTTTGACCCTCTATGCAAAACATACTTCAAAAAGTCGGAAATCTGTAGAAAGAAATTATAATTTAATGGTGATTTTATTTTTAAGTGCAAATTATTTCCCCCCTCAAGTGCTTTATGCTGACAGCCTTATTCTTTACTCTTCCCTTCTCGTTTTTTGCTCCCTCACTGCCCACCCTCTCTCACCTGAAAGCTTCAGGGGGACCATATTTATTTTACGATCACATATCAGAGAAGGCAGCCTCGTTCCCACTACTGCCCTTGGGAGCCACTTTGATTTAATTTAGCAAGAATTAAGCAAATCCTTTCTCAGGAAAGCCACAGGCAGTCACCCAGGCACCGGAGCCCCACCAGCCTGCCCTGCACCAGGCTCAGCAGGGAACAGTCCTTGAAAAAATGGGTGCACAGGGTAGCATCCCACTTGCTGCAGCTAATTTCCATTTATTTAGTCCTCTGCTAAAGGATTAAAGCAGTTGCTTTGGCCTTATCTTCTAAGGCGACATTTTGCCAAGCTTCTTTTCACCATGCGGCTGTACCCAGCCCTGGCTATGGGGACACAGACGTGTGCTGGCAACCTCGGAGCAGAGGTCTAACACGGGTGCCCGAGGCAAGGCTGGGCTCCTCATTCAGCTGTCAGTCGTGTGCCTGCATTTACCTTGCGTAAACCCACTCCAGCATTAGGAGATGGGGGAGCAGTAATTTTTTCACTCTTGCCCATTGCACTTCGCACATTCGTATTGCTCAGACTGGCAGCTACCAAGGTGCTCTTCAGGAAAACAATCAGTTATGGAGTCAATTTTCT